AAAAAAAAAAGAACATTGCTTTTATACTTTTTCACCCAATTTTAGTTTTGTTGTGTTTCTTGCTCTGAGTCACTCTAGGAACACACACTTTCCCATATTGATCAATATAGTTTTCCTAATCGATTGCCGGGAAGCACCTACTATAGCGACCTGTTGAAGTGGAAGAAGCTCACTACAATCGCTGTCCAGCACAACAACTACAGAGCTGATTTTCATGAAAGTGGGTGGGAGGCGGAGCAAGTTTCAAGGAATACCGCGAGCTGCACGTTTTCATTCATTTCCGTTTAGACCTTGGCAGCATATTCATGAGTGCATGTGTTTGTCATGTTGCATTTCTGTCGCGGCATGTGGCTCTTTTCAAAACTTTAACAATTTCCAGCCCCTGCTGATATTTTGTGTAAGAGCAGTCCTAATATCTGTTCATGTATGTCGCTGAACATCCAAGCTGTGCCTTGCTTCCAACCACACAACACCTATATCATGAATAATTCAAAGGTGAAATGAAAATGCCTTTCGTTTATTTTCTTTCTGGTGATTACAGGAGACACAAAACCATCATTTTGAGGATACACAAGGCCCCGGGAAGCGTGCCCCCCCCCCCCGCTCCCTCCTTCACCAAACAGAGGGAAAGACAATGGAACAAGTAGAATGTGAGTGACACAGATTCCCTAAACCTCAAAGAAGGCAGAGCAAGTGGAGGATGATAAAAAAGGAGAACATCTGGTGAGTGGAGAGCGCTGCCAGGACAAGACAAAGCCATGTGTCTGGCAAACGCAATACCTACACACTTATTCAAAAGACACATACACACACACACACACACACACACACACACACACACACACACACAAACACACGGCCGAACATTTATTCATGCATGCACGTTCAAACCTGCGTGCCTCCAAACTTACAAAACAAACGCGCACACATACACTGTGCATTATGCCCAGCAGGATGCAGTTAGAGGAAAAAAAAAAAGGGGGGGGGGTGTGATTGGAGGGTCCACTGTTCAGACATGACTAATCTGCATACTCGAAGGCTTAGAAGTGAATATGCATGAGAGAATAAAACGATATGCCTCCGAGCGGACCACCCGCTCTCTTTGGATTACCGTAGCCACCTCCAAGCCTTTCATCTCAACGCTGGCATGCAATCAAGCTGATTTAGCGCGCTCGGCACCAGCTTTTTGCGCATAAGAGATTGGACGGAGGAGATCTTCAAGGTGTCGTTAGCGGCGCCGGGGAAAGCCAAACAAACACGCCTCCTGCTTTCAACATCCACAGTCGGAGCCCTCAACTGTCAGGGGGCATGCCTTGCCCGACGTTGCCAAAACATACTGTACAGTGACTCCTGTGAGAAACTAAAAAGCCACTCGGTGGAGGAAAACGCCTCCGCCAATGCCCAAATGTTCACCATGGTAACAATGAATGTACAGCGTGCGATAACTTTGTGTGCCTGGGATTTGAGTCTCTTAATTGAAGACCAGACACAATAGACTTTGCGGCGTATATTCCGTTCTCTATTCATTACATCGGCACGTTGGGGTTTTAGGTCCGAATCTTGGCTGTGGCTTTCTTGTGTTGGCGTTGGCATCTTCTCACCCTGCTTGAGTGTGTTTTCTCCCAACTGCCATGGACTTTGATGTGAATGGACTATCAAGCAGCACCTTGCAGAAGACACCAGAGGGCAGCCATCTTACGTTGCCACTGTTACTGACACTTCCATTATTTTTTTTTGGCTGAGAACACTGTTATCAGTACTGCACACGTTTTACGCTATGATAAATGTATGGAGTAATGAGATACTCTCAAAGAACAAACGTCACTCTTTACCTCTAAATCGTGAATGACAGAGGTTAAGTTTACATTAGCGGCAAATTTTGTGCCGATGAACTATGGTTTCTTTTTACCGTTGACGGTTCTGACAACATGATGCAGATCAATCTTTGAGTAGCTCTCAGAAATACACTTCATAAGATATAGAGACCGACAATAACATGAAATGCCCGCAAAGAAATCAACGTATTCCAGTTAGGCAGCCTTAGCAAGTGGCAACGTAAGATGACCGTCACCCATTTACCCCACCCCAATCTAGCATCACCTCACACAAAAAGCAGAGGGGAAAAAAAATATAAAAAAAAGACCGCTTAGATAACCAGTGTGAAAGTGGTAAATCGTACTATTCCAAAAAAAAAAAAAAAAACCCAAAGAAATAACAAACAAGCCTAATTGTACGGAGTTGAAGTCTCGACAGATCGGCTGAAGTTCAAACTGTTAATTCGTGTCGCAGAAATGAGCGTAGAGAGGGAGATTACTGGTTGTTGTACGAGAGGTAAACTCGCATTAAGACGAAACAGATGACTTTGAGGAAGTTCTTTCTTATCTTTACATGATGTTTAGCCACCTGGTATTGAGTATCCAGGTGATTCAGACATTCATTTTTGTCGCTATGCTACCGCTTGGCAAAATTTGAAGAAAAATCAAAACATGATAATTTAAAATATTTTTCTCGGCTGCAGCCTGATATGACATCATACCAGGGGTGCACAAGTCCGGTCCTCAAGAGGTCCCCTATCCAACCTGTTTTAGATGTCTCCCTCCTCCAACAAACCTGATTCAAAAGAACAACTCATCATTTGAATTTGGTGCGTTACAGGAAGGACACATTGACAACAGGCTGGATCGGGGCTCTCGAGGACCGGACTCGGGCACCCCTGATGCACACCATGACTGGAGCATGAAAACGATCAAGTTAGAGATAGCGCTAACACTACATCATCAGGTGTCCTGGCTTGTCTCTACTTAGTAGAGAGCGCTCAAGTTGGTGATCCGTGGTCGCCATGGCAACAATCCACAACACTCCTCTCATTTATACACCGGTCTACCATTAACATTATTGAACAAATATACATGTCTACGTACTGTTCCTTTAATAGCAGGAAAGAGTGGAAGAATAGCACAAACGCCCCCCTTGATCTAATATGCATATTATAGAGCTGAATTACGGTTACGTATGTGGAGGAGTTTGAATTTACAGTAAATGGATAGCAAAAGAGTACAACTGAATTGCTTACAAAAGCAAAAAAATATATATTATTTTTTCTAAGGGGCACCTGACACAACTAAGGCACGGCACAAATAACCTAGAGGCTGTTTTTGCTCATGTTTTCAAGGCTGACATCAAACATGAGCTATAGAAGGAGAGCAGTAGGAGAGCATTTGGAAGGGGTATTAGACACGGAGCTGGGATGGTCTATCAAATATTGAAGAAATGTCTGCTGGAACCATGAATTCACATTTCAAACAGACTCCCTTCTAAGACTGTCCTCGGCAATGTATGAATATTTCATTTCTGAACATAGAGTGGCCCTGAAAGGCACCATTACCAAAGCCTAATGTCGAGGGGGAAACATTCTCCACATTTAGCTGAAAGTTAGGCTGAGCCCATGTAAGAGGCGCCCAGGCGGAACGTAGTCTAACGGGGTAATATATTGGCATCACATTAGTGTTAGTAGATGGGACGGGATGGCAGCGTAGGTGTGTTGCTTTTCCCCAAAGGACAAACTAGGGAAGCGAGGGACTCGGAGTGCATAGGTTTTCAATTTATCATCTCATTCAGTGGGTGAGAGGGCGAAGGAAAACGTTTAAAAAGGCGGTCGGCCTACGAGCAAGCAAAATGATGTTCGGCTTGAACCTTTTTCACGGGGCTGAAATACTGATATTAAAAAAAAAAAAAAAGCATGATTGAATCGACAATCAGCCAAAATATTGTATACACACATAGCAGTAAAAGGAACATTTTTATTCTTTTTTTTCTCTCGAAATATCATTCTTATTCAGACATCATGAGATTAATGCAAGTTACTTTTGGTCTCGACATTGACATGATCAAATTGCTGGCCAGTAGCTTCCACAGATACTGCTTGGCCAAAATGTCCGATGAGATTGCTGCACATGCATTTTAAATTTCTTGTTCAAGTTTCCTGCAGTAATCTCATTGGACACTTTGCCAACGTTACCCAAGCAGTAGTTTTGCATACAGCGTCAATAGGTCATATCAGACCAACCATTGAGGAAATGACGAAGCACGTCCATGGTGTGTCTTGAAGACATTATATAGGAAAGGGACGGTGAAAAAAAAAAATCTTGACAGTCAAATAGGGGTCGGTTCTAGAATGGATTCTGATATCGTTAATATGGTTAAAAGGCTTATGTCAATATGAATAAAATGCAAAATCCCATTATTTGATTAGGTAGATTCAGGATTAACGTTAGCATAAGTCTAAAATCAAATATTTGCTTTGGTTTGATTCAGTCTTACAATTAAAACTTTAAAACACACCAAAAACGCATACACGTGTCAGTACAATAACGCAATTTTGTGCAGCGCAGCCGTCAGGCATCACACAAAGGCACACTCAGTCACTGCTGCACTTACTGGTTTTCATTTGAATGTTTCATGTTTATGGCCTAGCAGTGTTTTCCATGAAGCATTTACTGTAATTACAACATTTCAAGGTTACAACTTGACATGCAATAAACTAGTTTGCGCCGCAGAATACAGAAGAATACATGGTCACGTGTCACAAGAAGCCACACTGACTTACTGTTGTTCTTTGTCTTTGATTGTTTATGGCCGAGAATTATTGACCGTAATCATGACTGGTCACGTGTCACAAGAAGCCACACTGACTTACTGTTTTTCTTTGTCTTTGATTGTTTATGGTGAGAAGTATTGACCGTAATCATGACGACTGGGCAGGTCTAGATTAGCGACAGACCACGGTATGTTCTTGATTGACTCCGTCACAAATTGAGGGGATGATGGGGAAAAAAAGTCCACTATCTTGCCTTTGCATGGCGCCGGTTCGAACGATATTAACCACTCGTGTTCTGTGAAGTGGAAGTACTTGTTTTGAAGGACGCTTTTGTGCCCATGGAGGTAATAGTTAAAAACAGGGCATCATAAAACCTTTTTTCATTGCTCGTTAAGATCCAGACTTAACCGGTTCCACAACCCAATACATCTTTGTTTAGATCGCGCTTTTCACACCAGCTGTAGCTGTAAACAAAACGCTTTCCGGTACAGAATTCGGAGTAGCACGTCTGACCCGGGTCATACATACAGGGCTTGGTCTTCTTGGACCGGTTTGTTCTCTGGTACTCGATGCGGCAGTTGAGTTCAGTCGTCACCATTAAGTCCTGCTGCTGCTGCTTGTGCTTGTCTGGAGAGGCGGAGCTTGTGGATTGCAAGGGGGAAGCCAGATCTGGTAACAGTACCGAATTCCTGGTCTGAATACTTGGCAGTCCTGGATCCAGAACCTCCAGCCCAACAGCTTTCGAAGGTGGAACAATACTGACCGATATGTTCCCTAAATGAGAAGAGTTGTGGCGGAAGTAGACACTGAACGTGCCGTTGATGTGGTCCACGATTTTCCCGGTCACTAGAAGACTGAACTTTAATGTTCTCACATTGAAGTAAAAGTCCCCCCAGCCCAAAATCTTCTTGGATTTCGGAGAGACCTTTGGGTGAGGTTTGGACTGAGGATTGTAAAGATAAAAAAAAAAGTGGGGGTGAGGGAAGCGAGGAGGCGGCTTTAATGTTTGGAGGGTTTACAGCAGCGGTGATTTGTGCATGTGCTCATCTTGTGCTACGTGCAATACAGGTATGACTGCGCGATGGTTGTGTGATGTCAAGCACAAGCACAGCCACGCTTGATTTGGTTTGCTTTTTCATCCCGGGCTTCTCCCTCCCAAATGGGAAATGATTCATTAGAGCTAGGTGATTTAGAACGTGGCAGTTGTGGCCGATCAATATGCATGGGCCCATCTGTCAATACGTGATTTCTGTTGGTAATTAGCTGATGTGGGCCAGTGGTTGTGAATATTGCCTGGCAACTGACAGCCTGGTTGTTTCTGTCAACAATGTTGGGAGGGGGGGCAGGTAGGGGGGCTGTTACCCAGGTGGTAGCAGGTGACTGACTGCAGATCAATGAATTACAATGCTTCAAGGCCCAAAGCCGCTTCATAAAGACATCTATTATTGCATAGCGGAGCAGGTTTTTTTTTTTTTTTATTATTCTCGATCAAGCGTGTTCGCTGGGCAATGCAAAAACTGCTGAAACAATTTCAGTCAAACGTTGGTGCCAATCCGAATTTAAAAAACGATCGAGCACTTTATTTTAAAAGAGAGATAGATATTGGAGCTGATTTTGGTGCCCTGCACAGTTTAATTGCGTGCATGGGTGGAGTTTTCTCTTTTGTTTTTTGTTTTTTTTTGGTATTTGTCTACACTTGCACCGTTGTGCGTCTTGATCAAATCCACCAAAATTGCATTTCACCACCTGCGCCACCACTTAGACCTGCTTTTGTCTGGGCACCCGTGAATATAGAGGATACTGCAGTTTGTCATATTCTTTATTCGGATTGCCACACTGAGCATTTTAGGGAAGATAGAAAACGCAAACAGCCTCGTGCATCCGTAGAGTAGACAAACACAATGCAGCTCAGTGACTGTCTTGCAGATGTCATGGCTAACGACATTATTTTGGCTTCAAATGTGAATCGAAACACAGCGTGAACAAAGTGCTGAATTCCAAATGCAACTTCCAGCGGCATTAAAAAGTCTCTCTCAGGCTCTTAATCATTCATCACTATTTTTTTTAAAAACTGTTACTGCTGCGCACGCCTGCAATCCTTCATTTACGACTGATGGCGCACTCGGTCTTGTTGATTGCTCATTTTAAATGTCATTAAATCTGTTCCTGTTTGCACAAAGCAGACAGTTGGTCCGAAGGGCAACCATAACTACAGTGTGGCCAGTGACACGAACAAGTTTGACACTTTTGATCTGTAGGATTGGAGTGTAACAGCAGCTCGCAGAATGAGACAAAAACTTTGACATTAAATGTTGGTTGCTCCATAATTGACGCCTGACTCTCAAAGAGGTTGGCATTTATGGAGGTGATGACCCCATTACGATTTTCGATTAAGTTGCCATTGGAGTAAGTCTCTGTTTTACGCCAACGTTAGAAGACGTTAGTGCACACGCAACAAGCATTTACGTGCTCCGGAGGTGGAGAAATTGTATCCGATTACTCGATTCTGCCGACGTGAGACAGCTGGCGGCGAGACAATTAAGAATGTGAAAATGATAATGGTGATGACACTTTTTGCTGCTTCCTTTTCCTGGGAATGCAAGGTAGTGTTTATCGCCAAACATCAGCACCTCACGCTCAGGTAAATTTACGCATATGATAAAAAAAGTGCACCCATCTTAATATATTTTCAATGACATATAGAAAAATAAAGCATCGAAGCGACGGTGTAAGTGAAGGATGCCTCTCTGCCTCTCATTTGCATTTGCATATGAGAGTGTTTTCTGGGGGAAAATGAGCTGTAGAAATTAATTCAGGATTAATTGGTGCCTTTATCTCGTTAGGACAATCTAATTTAGGGGATGATGGAATTGTTTAGACTCCCTTTTGCATAATTGGATTGCGGTGAATGGCTGTCATTACCGTCTTTTTAGCAGCGTCTGCGGGCCCCCTCTCTCCCGTGCAGGCCCCAACCTCATAAAGAGCCATCATGTGTTTGCGCCAGTGTTTTCGTAACCCCCCCCCCTCTCTCCCTGCAACACACAAGGCAGGATGCAAAAACGCGAGCATGTGGCTAACCGCGCAGCAGTGATTAGCTCCCGTTTCAAAGCCATTAGCATACTGCAAGCAGAGCACCATTGAGGAGATCTCTCATGAACGCCTCGGCATGTGACTAACAACGCGCTGATGATCGACCGTTGGCGGCGGCGCTTAGTTCGAGTCGCGGCTGCCGTCAAGTTGTTGTGGTTCATGCCCGCGACAGCGTTGGGAGGCCCACGCGGAGTCGACTTGATTTCTTTTAAGGTTTACACTGTTTGAATTAAGTGACATGCAATTTAGGTTAATTCCATCCATCCGTCCATACACTTTCTGATCCGCTTAATCCTCACAAGGGAATACCCTGAACCGGTTGCCAGCGAATCGCAGGGCACACAGAGACGAACAACCATCCGCGCTCACACGCACACCTAGGGACAATTTGGAGTGTTCAATCAGCCTGCCATTTATGTTTTTGGAATGTGGGAGGAAACCGGAGTACCCGGAGAAAACTCACGCAGGCCCGGGAAGAACATGCAAATTCCACACAAGGAAGGCCGGAGCTGGAATCGAACACAGTACCTCTGCACTGTGAGGTCAACGCACTAACCACTGGACCACCGGGCTGCCCAGTTAGGCTAATTGAAGAATCTAAATTGTGTGATGGTGTGAATGGTCATTCGCCAATATGTGCCCTGTGTTGCATGCGGGTTGCTTCATGTGGTCTGTGAATATAAACACAGCGATTCATATAAGTAGACAGTCCAAAAAAAAAAAAAAAAAAATTGTTATAGGAATTGGTCACTTGGACCTGCACTGCAAATGCAGCCCATGTTGCTTCTTTCTTTGTCCAACACATTTTGCCCTTTCATTATTTTCACAATCTCTCGGAGACAGTCGGCAGGAGGCCGCCACCCCAAACGTGGGATGAAAATCAATAGAAGCAGAGCAAAGCGCATGTATGGGATCACTCACTGGAATACCTGATCTTCTCACTTCAACAACATTGATGTAACTATGGAAACAAGCTCGCCAAGATGAACGGAGATATGCCTATCTCCTGACAAAAGGCCTTTTTATATCTTGTCCAGCCGCTTAGCCTATACAACAACAATAACAACAGCAGAGGCTTCTATCTGCCGCTTCCCACCACGATACCATCATCATTTGTCTGAAAGGACAAATTGTATAGATATTATTCGGCGGGTTGCTCTCTGGTAAACAAGGCAAGGAGAAATTGAATCTATGGTGCTGATTCTCAGGCTGTGCCAGGCTAATTGAGTTGATGTCCCTGGAGGAGCTGGACATACTGTAAAGACAGACTCAATCAAGTCATATAGCTTGTGTACTGTACTTACTGGAAGTCACACCGCCGCTTTTGTCGTTGCACTGCCATCTAATGCGATTACGGGCTTTTGAGGAATAAAGCAGGCTACACACAATGATCTTCAACAACTTGATTGCTTTTCTAAAACGTGCGCTGTCCCACACATGGAAAAAAAAATACCAGGTGTACTGGTATGTTTACTACTCCTGACAGTGTATAGAACACTCATAATGGTGTCGTTCGGGGTACTGAGACTGACCTGTTGAGTGAAAGCACAAATCAGAGTGGTCGTGAAAGAGGAAATGGAAAAGCTAAGCTAACTGTTAGCTTATCCAGGAGTTACACTGTCGTGGAAAACTCTTCCGCTTGTCCTTTTTATTGTGATGACTGAACTGCGACGCGTGCCAATTATGGAGTCCGCAGCTTGGCAAACACCCTGTGTTAACAGTACATCTGTATCAACTATCCACCCATCCATCCATTTTCTGATCCGCTTTATCCCCATAAGGGTCTCGGAGCATGCTGGAGGCTATCCCTGCTGTCTTCGGGCAGTAGGTGGGGGACACCCTGAACCAGTTGCCAATCGCAGGGCATGCATAGACGAACAACCGTTCACACTCATACTCACACCTAGGCACAATTTAGAGTGTTCAATCAGCCTGTCATGCATGTTTTTAGAATGCGGGAGGACACCGAAATACCCGGAGAAAACCCACGCAGGCCCGGGGAGAACATGCAAACTCCACACAGGAAGGCCGGAGCTGGAATCGAACCCGGTACCTTTGCACTGTGGGGTCGACGCGCTAACTACTTGACCACCGGGCCGCCTGAGTCAAATTTATTTTTAAAAACAAAAAGTAGTACAAAGCTTTGCTGTTTCACATCACTGCAAGCTACAGCCATAATAATAAACACATATCGTATCTACAAGGGTAGCCCCGAGTGAAGGGCAGACCTCCACCAAGGGCAAGTAATTTGAATCAGTAACAATTTGTACCTGCATGGGTAAACATCCTGCCTTTGCACAAATTTTATATGAAGACAAGTGAAAAAATAATCTGGCAATGTCAAGAAGAAAAAAAAAAAGATCCTGAAATCAGAACCCTTATCCAGATCTGCACCAAATATTCATGGCACCAAGTCATTTTATCTGAAAATCTGTTGCGCAGAAATGAACTTGGAAACCAACTTTAAATTTGGGTGCATGGTGGGGAAAAACATACATATCACGTTTAGCTGTTCATAGTCAAATACGATCACAGGATTTCCGATGAAATTCAACACCCAAATCGACATTCAAGCATCAGCGCAAGCTTCAGGTAGCTTCCTAATTGGATATCGTTCATTTTCACAATCGCGGGCTCCGTTGCTTGACGCAACGCCACGTTGACTGCACTACGTACGCATTTGTCATCGTAAATAATCAACATAGTCAGCCTTTACCATTGTCGGGGAGACAGTCATCAAAAGTGAAGTGAAAAATATTCTACGTAGAATGATATGAATTAAGCAGAAAACTGTCTCGGGGGGGTGGCCATTTTGCCACTTGTCAACTGCGTAAGGCAGTGGTTCTTAAGCTGGGTTCGATCGAACTCAGGGGTTCGGTGAATCGGTCTCAGGGGTTCAACGGAGCCTCTGCCATGGAGGTTAAGACACACCTGACTCAACATGTCAATTAGTTATGACACGCCCGCTTGGCCATCACTGGCTGCAGATGATCACATTGCATTGCTTGTCCAATCAGTGCTGCGGGAAATTTAGTTCATTTAGTAGTCAACGTGTGACTGTCGTGATAGTACGTCGTACAATTTAAAAAAAAAAAAAAAGAAAAAAAGTATACTTATCTCTTGAAATTTAATTCACGTTTTTTCTGTTTTTAATAAATGTGGGTTTTTTTTATATCTTGAATTTGTAAAAAATTCCGGGGTTTGGTCACGTGACGTTCGCAAGCTGAGCCCTTCGGCAATGTGATGTCATTTTTAGTCGACTGCAAGTGGCAGTACACGGCAAAGGCAGCCCCCCCCCCCCCGAAAAGAGACTAGTAGGGAACAAATTCTTGTAAACAACATTTTTGACTTGACTCCTCCGGTAACACACCTGACACCACAAGATAATCAGCACACAGGATAATCTTTGAAGGACATCTGAAAATGGGGCCTTTGCAGACTTTGATCGCAAGGGAGGAAAAATATTCCAATCGTTTTTATACGTGTGCCCGGTACTCCTCCAAAAAAAAAAAAAAAAAAACATTTACATGATGCTCGCCAGGGCTTCCCTTGTGTTGGCCGTCGCTTTGCTGCTTGTTCGCCGTGCAAAGTGTGTCATGCTTTTGATGCATTTTAAGCCCCCCCCCCCCCCCCCACACACCATACACAAGCCCCCACCCACTCCACCTTCATCTTGTCTGGTGCCATTTTCATTCTTTGCATAAATGCAGTCTAACAGTATTAAGTATTCATGCACGTCGGGGAAGGTGGTGCCTGTCCTTCAGGGTAAGTGTCAGGCCTGCGTGCGGCACAAGAAAAGCCCCGGGGAGAGGGGGAACATTAGGATCCATCAGCCTGACACACAAATCATTCTCTCATGTAAACATAAATATGTGGGTATGTTTTGACCGTCATCCCGTTATCTGTTGCTAGGCTACCTTGCATTAAGCAGTGTAGCTGTCCCTTTTCATTTTGCTCCAGGGATTCCGGCAATACCATCATATAACCTGCTGAGTCTTAATGAGAAGGCCTGCTCATATGAGTGGATATGAACATGGTGAGATGTGAAATTTATTCAAAGCGCCAAAGAATTCGGCTGTCTGTCAGCGACCAGCCGCAGCGGGCAGGCGCTTATGAATTTGAAGTGTTTCGAGGAGGGGTGGGGTGAGGTGAGGTGGGGGTGGCACGCTTTTCAGGGTGGGTGGGGGGGGGGCATTGAGGGGAATATTTTTCCGAGCAAAACACACCTGAGACAGGAAAAGGTCACAATGGATCGACACACATATACAAACGCTGCTTGGGAACACACTCATACCATAAACAATGTGACACGCTGGGCTCCATAAAGGTCATTTGTTGAGAAATCACTGATCCCCAAATGCATTAACAAAGTCAATTAACTATTCTACAGCAAAGATGAAAAGAAAACAATCATTAAAAAAAAAAATAGATATAGAACCAAGGCGAGTCCAAGCAGCCACGCAATTACAACAACCGCGCGTCCCCCCCAGGTAATTATGTGTGCCATAAAAACGACAGTCCAAGGCAATGGTCAGCGGGAAGAAAGCGCGGGGAGATGAGGGAACGCGACGCCAACAGCTGCTTTGAATAGATTGTGTGTGGGATGAATTAAAAAGTTGAACCTTTCCCCGGCTGTATTCACATGCCTGCCTCTGGGTGATTAATCATGGCCGTCAGGACCTGTAATCCTTTTCAATGGGAAACAAATGCAGCCACTGTCCTCTCTTTTGCACGCCGTTCGGAGACCCGGGGCCTCCAGCTCGCCAACCCAGTCACAATACCTGAGGCACACAGAATACCCAGACTCCCCTCCAACCCCCACCGACCCACCCCTGGGGAGCAAGGACGTGCCGACACACTGTAATCTACTCCCGACATGATGGGATGGACAAAAAGAC